TGACCAATAAATCATTATGTGATGCAACGAAGTACGATCTACAAATGATTCTATACCCCTTTATTTGAGGCAGCATTGCATCTTTCAACAGCAGTTCTACCACCTGCAAATTTTTGTGCGAATAAATAAAAACAGCGTGCGTGGATATATAATCCAATGTAGTCTATCTATCGAGCCCAAAGAACTAAATTTATATTACCAAAAGTGATGAAAAGAATGTACCTGAATATGCATTTGAAAGCTTTACAATAATCAAAATCAGCAGCAGCATCAGTAAACTTGTTCTTCTTCCATTCAAAATCATTCTTCTTATGTTAATTTCTTCTTCTTGCACGTGGAGCATCAACGAGGAGAATCCCATCAAATATAACTTGCAATTTATAGAGAGAGAGAGAGAGAGAGTCAAAGATATGGTTCAAATATTAAATATACTTCTACATTCTCAAGTTGAAGCTAAGGACTAGGGTTCCTAGATATTATTATTACCTTCCATTTCACGTTTCACTAAAATTAAGGGGACCAATTTCAGTGGCATGCATTCCCATTATAGGGTTACTTGCATAAACATTTGTGTTAATACATGTGCCAGTAATAGGATCTCGAGACACCTTTTCTTAATTGCCACGGAATTTGAAATTCTTGAGTCATTGTACTCAATTCTCAAAAAGAGCCTCGGTTCCCAATTTTTTCATACTACAACTCACTTTTAAGGAGAGAATATCTCATTCATGGTATTGAAAATAATGTGACGGTTGTCTGACATAAGTACTCGATAATATTTATCTTATTGGGTGTGCTAGCTGATAGCTAGGTTCACAGTTGCACATGTTTAATAAACTAAAAAACGAGGCATTTCTAGTAAGCCTCATCAAGAAAAATATTCAACAAAATATAATTTTATGTCTTTGAAGGAAAATTCTATTTGTATATCGTCACTTGTCAATTCGGTAAAGCATTAGGTAAAAAATGATGTACGTGTAGCATAACTCGCCTTTGAATATCAGTACTAGAAAACGCAACATCAATCAACAATGAATGATAGACTTTTTTAGTTAGTATCAAATGATGGAACCTTTGACAATTTTTATTATTTTTTAAAGGGGGAGATTTAAGTAATAGGGACAACTTATATTTGCTAAATTTTTGTCGTCGATAAAAATATTCAAATTTAAAAATATATTACCAATAGATTTTACAACACCATTTTGTGTTCGCATATAAAAAATAACAAAAACAGTTTAATATTGCTAACAGCTGATTTATCACCAAATTATCGAAAGTTCACTGATAGTATATTACGGGCATAGTTGCAAATTTCCTACTTAAATTATATTGTGCATTTATCTTACATTTGAGCTTGCCCGCTGATGTTTTGAAAAGGCTGCACTGGGGCTGCGAGACCTCAAGGGTCGAACGGGCGGTCTTTCACATGTTGTATCAAAACAAGACTGCTCGAACATTGCATTGTTGGTTGCAAAGACCTCAATGGTGTGCTTTCGTACCAAAAAAACTTTGAGACCGCTGAAAAAGTGGCAAAGCCGTGAGAGATGTGGCAAATCGGGCTGGCAAGAAAGCCGAATTGATGCGTTGTGCGATTGAGTCTATCTACATGTACGTTTGTTTCGTACAGGATGGTGAGTATTGCATCGAAAATCAGACAAAGGGAAAATTTGTGTGGGTGCTTCGACATATATATGCTGTGACGCTACTTAGGGGACCATCCATCTGATAAACTAATGCAAGACGTATAAGATGAAGTTAGTGTTGAAGGCGGTACGCATTACTGCACGAAGCGGTGCAGGTGGTACTATAGATACTTGTCCATTCGAGGGATGATGCTATAATTATGGAGAGATTTTCGTACCCATCGGCATAAAGGAGAATGCAATGTGAAAGTTGCACGAAGATGCGAAACATATGATCCGCTGAGAGGGCATTAGCGAATTCAGTGGGGGGGCCAGTCACAAACATAGTGAATGTACGATAAGATTGCAACAACTGATTTATGAGCAAATTATTGAAAAGTACATTGATGGTGTCTCATATACAGGTATAGATGCATAAAGGGCTAAATATGGTCCAGTCTGGTTCGATTCTCTTTAGAACCAATTTGAACAAAAATTTTCTGGTATTTAATAAATGGAACCGTTGAGTTCAAATAT